TTATTATTATTATTATTATTATTATTATTATTATTATTATTATTATTATTATTATTATTATTATTATTATTATTATTATTATTATTATTATTATTATTATTATTATTATTATTATTATTATTATTATTATTATTATTATTATTATTATTATTATTATTATTATTATTATTATTATTATTATTATTATTATTATTATTATACAGTAGTAGTATTTCATAATTTATGCACTCCAAGGCAGTCTGGTTAAAATCTCAAGAGGAAAACTAAAGACCTGTGTAGTGCGCCCTTGTGTAGTAGATAACAGTTTTTTCTTTAATATGAAATATACCAAATATACAGAAATTTATGGAGGAAATTTTAAGATTACATTTGTCACGTGTATGACGTAAGACAGTTTCGGGTAGCCCTACAAAATCTTACATTTAACTACCGTATGTATCTGAAACCATTATAGTTTTTGTTGTTTTTTTTTCCTCAGGTGAATTTTATATTCCCCACAAAACGCAAACCCCTCTCAAACTATAATTTGTATTTCTACGATCAGTAGTAGTTTGGACTCCTGCTTGACCATTCATTTATGAATAACTCACAGTCCTGTCCATAACCAAAATGAGCAAAATGAGTCAATGTGCTTTGACAAAAATCATTGGGCATCAAAAGACTAACAAGGCCGTAATGGAGGGGTCTGCATTATGACATACAGTAAATAAGTGCAAACCAGCATTAACATGCAGGGTTTATTTTCCACTCTGCGACTAGGGTGTTTGTGAATACCATAAATGTGAATTAATATTTTCACACTTAAAATCGGTCACTTTTTAGTATTTTCTCTTACTATTGTGTGTAGCCTTTAGCACCTTGCCAAACCTGTAAACCTTAGTTCTAAATCACATCTGGCCAGGGAGGACTGCGTAAATAGTCTTTATGTAAAAATTAGCATTTTCGAATGCACATGTTGGTGAGCCATTCACAAGTAGGCACAAAACTCTCCGACATTACCTTGCTGAATGAGGGCCCATTATCGCACATCAGACTGATCGCTCCTGTTTCAGGATTCAAACCTGGCTGCATGGTCCCTTTGGAGTACAACAAACACATTTATTTTTGCTTAAGCTCAGAGTATACTTAGTTTTTTTTACACATACGCTTGGCTATGCATTCATTGCGTTTGATCTGAACTTCGTCATCAGCACAGTATGCGCATACTGTACACGCACAGCCCGATTTTACAGTGTACATGCGGCTCTCACATGCACTTAGATTTTTTTTTACATTATTTATTTATTTAGTATTATTATTTATTTTTATTTATTGAAAAAAAATGTTTGCACTAATTAGTTTGTCCAAAAGGTGGCAACACTGGCTCGGGCCTATAGACTGTAAAAAAAAAAGATGGACAATGCCATCTCCACTTCCTTCCACTATAGAAAAGTGAAGCCAAAACATCTCAATATGGTCGATGTCATCTTGCGAAAATAACATAATTTGGAGCCGCAGTAGTGATTAATTTGGACCCAGAGTTTTTGCGCAGTAGTGATCGTGTGTTGGAGCTGCATTATCAAAGTCCCTCCCAAACTCCTGCAGACCCAATTGCAAGCTCACAATCATGGTACCACACTCCATTTTTATAGAATCAAATAACTAACTATAAGCAAACTTATTAGAAAGACAAACACTTAAACATACATCAGCATAAGAACTACCTAAAATGATGGACTGATTATTTAATTTGGCTCACGTTCTATTCACTTACATGGAGAGGGCAGAGTTTAAGACCTATATTGCAGCCAGCCACCAGATGGTGATGTTTTGGCCAGATGTTTTGGCTTCACTTTTCAGGATGCCTATGGCAAACTTGCTCTGGCCGTTAATTCACAGTTGGAAAAGAAACAGAGGGAACCGACAGTGTTGCAAAGTTAGCTATTTTTGCAATTTCCCCCATAACACAACTGGGCTAGATTTGGCCATGATTGGGTAGTTTTGAGTACCTATTGGACTGGTTTTGTTAGACAGACCTGGCAACCCTGGAGAATGAACAACAACAACAACAAACTACTGAAGATGGCAAAA